CGCAACGCGGCCTCTAATTGATCCCGAATTTGTCTCTCTGTGTATACGCGCTGAAACGTCAATTACGCTCTAATTAGTAATTATGTCTATGCGCCGGTTTAATCCGGACACCAGGATTCCATCTCCGCCCAGAATTTCCAATGTATATTCTCGGAATATATATTTCTTTCGCTCCTTCGCGCGCCCATTTGGTGCTGCTGCGGCGGCGGCGGCGGCGGCTTACGCCCCAATTACTCGCTTCTATCTCGAGCCTTCGTCTCTTCCTTAAAATTCAATTTTCCTCGAAAATTTCCCTTCGATGTAACGATATTCCTAGAATTTTCCTAGAATCCCTCCTCCTCCTCTTTCTCTTCGGCAGGAAATTAATCTTATCGAATTTCAAGTATCGAGACAGAGAGAGTGAGGGGGAAAAGTGGTGGTTAAAAGTTGATTCGAATCGTTCGTGCTGGTCGGATATTCAGCCCTTCGTGCGTGGAAGTAGGGCAGCCATGCCTAAATATAGTATGGCTACGATCCATCGATTCGAAGTCAGGTTCGATTTCGCTTCAACGAATACCTGGAACAATCTCCTCAATCTTGTTCCTGATTTAGGCTCGATCGTAGAGATCGACCTCTGACCCCGAATCAATAGAAGAGGAGGAGGAGGAGGAGGAAGAAATTTGAGCCAACGATTCATTCGAGAAGCATCTTCTTCCCTCCATCGTGAGAGATCGATGGTCCGCTTTCCAAGATCCAGTTGAGTGGGCGCGATCGCGATTTGTCATCGAATAGAGGCGAGTAGACTCTTTCTCGAGAAGCTGCGCCCGCGGCGCTCCACGCTGATTCTGCGAAATGAACGATATATCGGTGTATCCTCGAAAACGAAAACGTCCACGAGTTTCTCGACCACGTTTCTCCTATTTTTTTTTTTTTTTTTTTTGAGAACCTCGGCCCGTTAATTCGCGCCTCGTTAGAAATAACGACGAACGACGAAGAGGTCGTTGAAACGAGGGTGCCGGGTCACGACCCCACCCCCACCCCCTCCACACCACAGCCAGGTACCAGGAGGAGTAGCAGGTCGGTTCGCCCGTCGGTTAGAGCAGGTACGAAATGCATGAATAAAAGATAATCCTTGCCGGATTTGCATTTTTCCCCGTCCGTCGTGACGATAGTTTTCCAACGAGCCTGTCCCTCTATCTACGCCGACCGCCTTCGAGTAACGAGAAATCGATCAGGTGTCCTGTGTCCGTGACACGGGGACACCGTTTAAAGCTGTTCGACTAAATCGAGACAACGAAGGTGTATCGCGTCTGGGGAGAACGATCGTTTATTTATAATAATCCCGGACTCGGCCCGTAATCGATACACGGGTCTGACGCGTTAATCGTTGCAAACGTTTCTAATTAAAAAATCATCGGATACGTATCTTCGAGGATACGAAAGAGGGATCGAGGATTCGCGTGAAATATCGTGTGATGGATGATGATACGTGAATGAAAGAGAGAGAGAGAGGGAAAGCAGCGCGGATCTGGAAAAAAGAAAAAGAGGAGGAGGAGGAAGAAGAAGAAGAAGAGAGAGAGAACGGAAGCGATAGTTCGCGTGGCCTGTGAAGCAACAGATC